ACACATGAAAGGAACACAGAGAGGGATGACAAGGCTGCTTGTTCAACGCTTGCTGCATCACTCAAAGATGAGATGTTGAGGTGGGAACAGTCAAATGGAGATGGCACAGGAACGGCAAAAAGACATACAAAGTCTTTAGTCTAAATCCTTCCCATCACTTTGAGGAAAATGTTGGGAAGATATTATTCAGCAAATCCTGAGGAATAAATATGCTAGTGTTTTATCCAAAAAACATCAAACAACATTTATTTCTCTCAAAAGAGCATGGCAAAGGAACAAGCAAAGGGCAAAGAAACAATATGTTGCGTCTGAGTCCTTTCGAACTTGAATATTGGAAGACATCCAAACATACAACCATGGAACCTCTCCAACAGTCCTGAAACAAAACGTGACAAGGCAAAGGATGCCAGAAGGAATTCTGTTTATGAAGTTTCGGCTGAACAAACCACCTGTAGTTTAACCTAACACTAGTCAGAGGAAAATCGTAAAGGAACAATGGCATCAACTGCTGTAGCGGCTCTTGCAAACAACAATGCTTTTGACGCTTGAGTGGGAGAAATGATGGAAAACAACCCTTAATTTATTAACATGACCAATCCATTTTAGCACACGAAGCATGGCAAAGCAACACATGAAAGGAACATATATAGGGATGACAAGGCTGCTGGTTCAACGCTTGCTGTATCACTCAAAAGGTGAGATGTTGAGGTGGGAGCAGTCAAATGGACATGGCAAAGGAACAAGGGCATGGCAGAAATTCATACAAAGTCTTTGGTCTAAAATCCTCTTTATCAAATTTAGGAAGATGTTGGGAATATCATTCAAAAAATCCTGAGGAATGAACAACCCTGCAATCTTCTCTCTAAAAATATCTTGAATTGTAACAAGAACGCAAATGCCAGTGTATTATCTTGCGCAGTGGACTTACCCTTTATCACGCTTTTGGTTTGGGGAAAAGAGCATGAACCTGAACGAACGGCTATTATAATCTTCAACCGAACTGTCCGAAAGCCATCAGTGCATTGCTTTGGTCAGAGCAACGACTTTGCTGAAACAAAATGTTTTTACACAGTCATTGAATGCACTTCTCTGTCCTTGCGGATTTGTCTCACCCAAACAGCTGGTGGTGCAGTCCCAGCGCCACCTTGCAGGGAGGAGGTATGGATGCTTGTATTAGTTTTATCTATCAAGTTCGTGATTGTCAATAGATACATATATATAATATAATCTATATATATATATATACAGCGCAGTATATATAAACAACCTCCATCCACCTTCCTGTTTGGAACAGCGTACGGCGGATGCAAAACAGAACAAAAAAACAAAGAGCCAGTTTGTGAAACACCGTCCTGATGTTGGCAAAGGAATTTGTTGGAGCTCATGGGCAATCAGCAGCTTCATATGATAAGACGATGGGATGACAGCCCATTTGTTGTCTGTGCCAGTGAAGATGGTGGGTACACCGAAGGTGATGGCATCCTCGTCGATGACCCCGCCCACGTTCTTCTCTGCAATCATTCTAGCACCTTCGTCCGTCTCCACATCCTCTATGAGAGAGATGCCTTGCTTGGCAATGTTCTCCAGGTGAGCCCTCGCCGCTGCATTTTTCACACACGAAGGCAGCCCGGGACATCGCACAACGGCAAAGGGGTTGAAGTCAGCCCCCTTGCGAATGAGGCTGTCCAAAGCCATCTTCGTAGTGTAAATGTCGCCGCCGAAGTAGTTGTAGAACATCTCTGCCAAGTCCTCGTCCATGCTCCAATCATCCTTCAGCATCTTGAGCATGTCGGACTTTGGCACTTCCCCAATAACGATGACTTGGCCTATGTCTCTGAGGTCAAACCCTGAAGCTTGCAGGCGGAAGGGATAACCAAACTCTGAAGATATCAGCACAACGCTGGCTTGCTTCGTCTCCTTGGTCCATTTTGTGATGACCGCTAAAGCTGACTTGGCCGCCGCATTCTTATCTCCACTTAGTCCAGGTAGCCCCAAATTCGCCTCGTCCACAACGAGGCTGGGGATCCTACCACTCCTGATGGTCTTGTCAATGAAGGTCTCAATGTTTTTTTGTTGTCCTTGTAGTACAACATCCAAGACATCCTTCGCCGATTCTCCGGCTCCCTCGAATCGGGCGCTCATCGCTTTGTTGACAATTTGCTTAATGACTGCATGGAAGCCTTGCACTGTCCGAGTTGCCCATTTCAGAGATTTTTTCTGTTGCAGGTCAAGTGCAGCCATCAAAGTTTTGCCAACCATATCGCCATCGCGCATGTTGACGGAAACGAAGTGGATCCTATTATCTTTCCTCTTTTTGCATCTACTGATTGCCTCGCCTTTGAGAAATGATTTCCCCAAATTCTTGCCACCCAACACCAGTGATAGTTTTGTCTTTTCCATCAACTGCATCATAGCCTGTATCGCAGCATCTCTGTTAACAACTTTGCTGGATTCCATGTGGCCGTCTGCAAGAGCGACAATGCTCTTCAAATAGGTCTGGGCATCAGTCTTGTTCCTACTGGCGGCTTTTTGCACCGCTACCCAAAAACTGTTTGTTTCGCCCGCGTCAACACGAGGAGGTAGACCACGTAGCTTCACTGAACGCGGTGGATTTCTTGCTGTCTCTGTTGTCAAAAAGCATGCAACCACACTTGCCCAAAGGACACATGCGAGTGCACCACGCCATTTGCGTGAGCCGGACATCTCATGAAGTGTAGTCTAGAGTATTCAAATGACTTGAAAAGGTTCGGTTCATCAAATGGCAACAAATCATGTAAAAAGTTGACCATGCAAAATCTCTGAGCGTCTTCACACATCACCGTGCATGCATCGGGAACTAAGGTTGATATTACTGACTGCATTCATGCCACTCCCAGGGGTGCCATTGTCTGTGTGATACGGCGTCGATTGGGACGTTGGTGGATTCAAGAGGTGAAGCTGTATATGACAGACGTTCAGGGATTTGAGAGACGATGGGATCCGCCGTGCAGCCCGCCACTGGTTGTTCAAGACTAGGAAGAACCCAAGAGAACACAAGAACAATAGGATCGTTGCCTTAATGTTTCTAGGCACCCAGAACCTTGACTGTTGAACGAATCCTTTCAGGTCTTTAAAGGATCTTGAACAATTTAGATTGAAAAGTCCAAGCACGTCATCAGTTGAACTAGATCTTTTAAGAGGGCCATGGTCAGTGCGGGCTGTGATTGGATCCCATGCAATGCACCGAGCCAGTTGGAAACGCCGTCGCCCACTCCTCAGCATGCATGTGACCTTGGAACCCTCTGCCCCATGTCTCTTTTTTCCATCGCCCAGGTCGGTACGAAAGCCATCATAGTGCCAACCTTGGAAAGTGTATCGATCTTTTCAAGCTCTTCCATGTCAAATTTAAACTGATCATTTTACTTAGAAGGCCATTGTCTGATAGCCATCGATCGGGTCAAACAGTGGTGGCGCTAGTGTTGGGGCCATGGACACCTTTGTGATCCCAGAGAAGTTCAAGTTTGCTGAACGTCAATGCAGTCAGCAAAGCTGCAAGCATGTTCTTGCATGTCTGGCATGCTTCAACGATCTTCAACGGAACTGACACATTTTGCTCATCGATTAGTTGGCTGTCCAGCTGGCTAGGGTTTGCGCATTTGCACAGCGAGCGCCAGGACTGGATACTCAAGGCCAACCACCGATTGATTTATCTTTTCATGTATATGTATATATATATAGCTAGAGTTCTGCTCTGGAAGAAAAGCAAGACCTAGAGATTGCAGCGAACCAGCTGTGCACCCATCCAGACTGCGCACAAAACTGCATAAACTCGGAAACCAATTGCACAGGTTCATGCCAATTATGCCACCCTCAAGATCTTCTTCAGCCGATTTGGCAGGAAGGGCCCAAGCGGCAAAGAAATCGAGGCAGCTATATATACTACAAGACTCCCGCTAGAGTTGATAAAATTGTTTCTTGACCCTGGAGCTCTGCCCCTATT